AGCTCCAGCTGCACGCTCAGCCTAACTAGTAAACAATACCCAGATAGTCTGCAGGCCTGCAAATTAACAGCCCCAACATTCTGCTAGGACCCAAAGTAAAGTAAAACACAGCTTACCTAAGGTTTTATGAATACTTCAACTCCACTCACAATTAATTTAAATAAAATAATCACCAATAAAGCAGAAAACCAGGCATGTAAGGAGTCCAGAGTTATCAGTGTCAAAGAATCATGTAGCATAGAATATCAAGTTGTGATCTCGATATTATTTTTAACTGAGTACTTTTAACTCACTAAATTGAGTAATACAATTTTTAAAAACTTATTTTTTCCAAAGTATATTATCAAAATGAATTTTATCTGAGAAATGTTTGTTCAAAGTTACCGATAATGTAAAATAAAAACAGGTGTAGTCATCCCCTTTTATCCGTGGTTTCACTTACCAAGGTTTCAGTTACCCAGGTCAATTACAGTCTGAAAATATTACATGGAAAATTCCAGAAATAAATAATTGAAAGTTTTAAATTGCACATCATTCTGAGCTGTGTGATGAAATCTCATACTTTCTTGATCCTGTCCTGCCTGAGATGTGAATAATCCCTTTGTCCAGCATTTCCATACGGTACACACTACTCGCCTATTAGTCACTTCACTGTCATCTCGGGTATCAAATTCACTGTCATGGCATCAGAATGCTCATGTTCAGGTAACCCTTAGTTCACTTAATAACGGAGTACAAGACCAGTGAAGTGTTTCCTTTACTTTACAAGAAGGGCGAAATGAGACAGGGAGAGTCTATATTCACCTAGCTTTTTATTAGTGTTTTTATAATTGTGCTATTTTATTATTAGTTGCTGCTATTAATTTCTTATAGTGTCTTAATTTATAAATTAAGCTATCATCAGGACTGATATTATAGTACAGTAAGTTAATCTGCCACTTACAGCATTGACATCCTATATTGGAGGGCTGGTTCAGGTCCTTGCTGCTTCATTTCCCACCCAGCTCCCTGCAGATGCACCTGGAAAGGCAGCAGAAGATGACCGAAGTACTTGGGCCCCAGCCAACCACATGGGAGACCCAAATGGAGTTCCTCGTCTTGTCCATCCCTGACTGTTGTGGCTACTTGGTGCTCATGACAAGAGCCTCCCGTGATTACTGAGGCCATAAACAAGAGTGTCAATTGTTAAATCAACAACAGCAGTCACTGTGCACTTACTCCCCATGTAGGATCTCTGTCCTTAATGTGTTGTACAATGTGAATTAACAGTATAACTAGTACTCAAACAGTACTTCACACTGTGTTTCTGTGTGGGTGCAAACTGTTGAAATCTTTAACATAGTATATACCAAATTGATCTTCCTTATATAAAGAGAATTGAAAATGAATCTTGATGTGAATGGAATGGGAGAGGGAGCGAGAGATGGGATGGTTGCAGGTGGGAGGGAAGTTATAGGGGGGAAAAGCCATTGTAATCAATAAGCTGTACTTTGGAAATTTATATTTATTAAATAAAAGCTAAAAAAAGAAAAATCTCTCTTTCTCTCTGTCTCTATTTCTATCTCTATCTCTGTGTATCTTTACCTTTCAAATAAATAAATAGCTTTAAAACATTTTATCACAGGTATGTTTGTATAAGAGAAAACTATGCATAGAACTTGATACTGTTTGCATTTTAAAGCATGCACTGGGGGTCTGATATAATAAAAAATGCCTACTTGTGTTTTTAAAAAGCTGGCCAAAACTTATGATTCATTGACTGTTACACAATTTAATGATTTTTAAATGCCTGCAAAATTATCTTGCTGCTTAAATAAACCAAAAAAAAAAAATCACTCAGACTATATAAAGTACTTTCTCCTATCAATAAAACTTAAATCAGCCATGTTTTAAAGCAGACTGAAAAGCCAATATAAGACTAATTCGCCGGTGCCGCGGCTCACTGGGCTAATCCTCCGCCTTGCGGCGCCGGCACACCGGGTTCTAGTCCCGGTCGGGGCACCGGATTCTGTCCCGGTTGCCCCTCTTCCTGTCCAGCTCTCTGCTGTGGCCCGGGAGTGCAGTGGAGGATGGCCCAAGTGCTTGGGCCCTGCACCCCATGGGAGACCAGGAGAAGCACCTGGCTCCTGCCATCAGATCAGCACGGCGGCCATTGGAGGGTGAACTAACGGCAAAGGAAGACCTTTCTCTCTGTCTCTCTGACTGTCCACTCTGCCTGTCAAAAAAAAAAAAAAAAAAAAAAGACTAATTCCAGTGGTCAAACTACATAAACATGCCCACTGATATTTAAAAGAAATGTTTATCAACTTTCACTAGTGATACAATATCTTTTTTCTATTATAAATAGATTTCTAAGGAAATTCAACTATCTGCAACCAGATGGCCACTGTTCAAATCTGCTAGCTATTAGCTGTTTGCTTTTGGTCAAGTTGCTAACCTTCTCTATTTCTGGAATACTTCATCTGGAAAGTAGAGACATCAGTAGTTCCTATTTTAGAGTATTGTTTTTAGCTAATAGTATTTAAAATAAAATAATCCAATTAGTGGATAAGTGTTGACTATAGGTCCTTTACTATATTTTCACTTTTTAAAAAAATATATATTGAAGCCGGCGCCATAGTGTACTACGTACGTTAATCCTCCACCTATGGCACTGGCATCCCATATGGGCACCAGGTTCTAGTCCCAGTTGCTCCTCTTCCAGTCCAGCTCTCTGCTGTGGCCCGGGAGGGCAGTGGAGGATGGCCTGGGTGCTTGGTCCCCTGCACTTGTGTGGGAGACCAGGAAGAGGATACTGGTTACTGGCTTTGGATCGGCATAGCTCTGGCTATTGTGGCCATTTTGGGAGGTGAACCATCGGATAGAAGACCTTTCTCTCTGTCTCTCCTCACTATCTGTAACTCTACCTGTCAGATAAATAAAAAATCTTTTAAAATAGTTTAAAACAAAAACAAAATATATATTTTATGTACTTGAAAGGCTGAGTGGCCGGCGCCACGGCTCACTAGGCTAATCCTCTGCCTTGCGGCGCCGGCACATTGGGTTCTAGTCCCGGTCGGGGCACCGGATTCTGTCCCGGTTGCCCCTCTTCCAGGCCAGCTCTCTGCTGTGGCCAGGGAGTGCAGTGGAGGATGGCCCAAGTGCTTGGGCCCTTCACCCCATGGGAGACCAGGAGAAGCACCTGGCTCCTGCCATCGGATCAGCGCGGTGTGCCGGCCGCAGCGCGCCGGCCTCAGTGGCCATTGGAGGGTGAACCAAAGGCAAAGGAAGACCTTTCTCTCTGTCTCTCTCTCTCACTGTCCACTCTGTCAAAAAATAAATAAAAAAATAAAAAAAAAGAAAGGCTGAGTGGCAGATAGGAAAGAGAGAGACATCTTCCATCCACGGTTCAATGCCCAAATTCCTGCAGCAGCCAGGGCTGGGCCAGTAGGAAGCGAAAAGCCTGTAATTCCATCTAGGTCCCCTCCATGGGTGGCAGGAGGAGCCAAATACTTGGGCCATCTTCTGCTGCTTTCACAAGCACATAAGCAAGAGCTGGATTTGAAGCAGAGCAGCTAGTTCTCCAAAACTGGAAGCCGGGGATGCTGGTGACTGAGGCAGCAGCTTACCCCACTGTGCTACAACACCATCCCCTATATTTTCACTTTTTAAGTTCCCATGTTCTCTAAACAGAATACTAGTAAATCAATTTAAATAATGATTTTAGGGGTCAGTGCTATGGTATAGTAGGCCAAGCCTCTGCCTGTGGTGCTGGCGTCCGATATGGGAACCAGGTTGTGTCCCGGCTGCTCCTCTTCTGATCCAGCTCACTGCTTATGGCCTGGGAAAGCAGTGGAGGATGGCCCAAGTGCTTGGGCCCCTGCACCCATGTGGGAGAACTTGAAGAAGCTCCTGGCTTCGAATTAGCCCAGCTGCAGCCATCGTGGCCATTTGGGGAATGAACTAGAGGATAGAAGACATTTTTCTCTGTATTTCCCTCTCTCTGTCTGTAGCTCTACCTCTCAAATTAATAAATAAAGGTCTTTAAAAAGTGATCTCTGTCCTTAATGTGTAGTTCAATGTGAATTAATGATATGACTAGTGCTCAAACAGTACTTGGCAATTTGTTTCTGTGTGGGGGCAAACTGATGAAATCTTTACTTAATATATACTAAATTGATCTTCTGTATATAAAGATAATCGAAAATGAATCTTGATGTGAATGGAATGGGAGAGGGAGCAGGAGATGGGAGGGTTGTGGGTGGGTGGGAAGTTATGGGGGTGGGGAAGCCATTGTAATCCATAAGCTGTACTTTGGAAATTTATATCTACTAAATAAAAGTTTAAAAAAAGTGATTTTAAAAGAATTACAGAAAAAAATCTTTAAAAAAAATACTGAAAAACTTGGACATTCATGGAGCTGTCCTGAGGCAGGCTGCTTCTATTACTAATTTCTTGGAGAATAATTGAAGTTAACCTTTTTGTTGTGTAATAAAGAGCAACTAAACAAAACAGAGACACAGCTCTAAGGAACCAACATTTCTGCATGATAATGGGAAAATTGTCTATAGCACAATACTTATGAATCAGTATAATTTTCTAGACAAATATAAAGAAACTGGAGATTGCCTCTGAGTTGTCTTAATGATAAGGATGTCAAAACAACCAATTATATCATTAATTGATATAGGCAAATTGTGTGCGGTATGAACAACAGATAGATAAAATCTCAGACTAAAGGACTGGCCTTCCCAAGGAGGGGGATATTTGAAGAGTTTCTATCAACATCATATAATAAAAAGAAGAAGAAGGAGAGAGAGAGAGAGGGAAATGGAGAGGGAGAGAGAGAGGGAAAGGGAAGGAAAAGGGAGGAGAATAGGCAGCGGGAGAAGTTGCACAGGGATCCGAGAGACAGAGCAGAGGAAGAGGGGAGGTTAAGCTTGACATTCCCTAAGGTTGTATTTCTTTCATATCTTCTGCCATGATTGTAGTGTCTTTTGTATACCATCTGTTTTTGACAGGCAGTCTACTAGATTTCATATTGCCGTGGCACTATTTCAACACTGGTGGGTGTTGACACAAGATGTGTAAATCAAAGTACTGAAGCCAGGTGATACAACAGAACTACCCTTTGAGTTCAGGTAATACCTTGCTAAGATTTTTCTATTTTTTTCTCCTCAATTTTAATAAAAAGAAATCTTATCCACATTTCTCCCTGAACACACTGGAAATTCTGCTTTTGTTTTTTTTAGGCATCATCATCCTATTTAAGCTAACACTGACATCTGTGAATCTCAAACACAAGCAGTGCTACCACAGCCACAGATCTGAGTTTACCAATAAATGCTGCTGCATTTTTCATGTCCATGTCCATGTTACATTGTTTCACAGCATAGCTCATATTTCATTTTATCCCAGAATTTTTTTCAGTAATGCTTCATGGAACATTTTCCCTTTTCCCATTAACAATGTAACTGAACAGAACAACAAAATGTAGTATAAAGCTAAAACAGTGTAGAAGTGCAATTAATGGGAGAGAACTGGCTGTTGTTTGCAAGGTCTGTCTAGCCAGAAAATTCAAGTTCATTTGCTTTGCACTGACATATAACAAACGTTGTGTTGGCTTTATTAGAAAACACTTCTATCCATGCTGGTGTTTGGTACAATGGTTAAGATGCCACTCAGGATGCCCAAATCCCATATTATAGTATCTGGGTTTGAGTCCCAGCTCTGCTTCCAATTCTAGGTTGATGTTAAGGTACACCGTGGGAGGTAGCAGTGATGGCTCAAGTCCTTGGGTCCCAGCCACCCATGTGGGAGAGACAACACAGATCCTGGGAAAGACACAGATTGATTTCTTGATTTTCATGTATTCACTGGGGAGTGAATCAACAGATGGGAGTGCTTGTTTTCTCTCTCTCCCCCGCCCCGTCTTTATGTAGGGGTGTATCTGTGTGTGTGTGTGTGTGTGTTGTGTGTGTGTGTATATGTAATAAAACACCAAACCAGCATCTTAACTGCTGGGCCAAATGCCTGTCCCATACTATAGATCACATATATAAAAACCAGGAGGCAACATGAGGCCCCACACAGGAGATCAAATTTCACATGACTCCACGCTACATACAGACTGAATTGTCTCCCTAAAGTTTATTGAAATCTAATCCCCAAGGCAATAGACAGGAAGTGGGACCTTTGGGAGATAATTAGGTCATTAAGGTAGATCCTTCATGAATAAGATCAATGACATTATAAAAGGGATCAAAAAAACTTCTCTCCTTACAGCATGTTAGACTGCAGTATTAAGACAGTTGTCAAGGCCAGCACTGTGGCATAGCAGGCTGGGCCTCCACCTGTGGCACCGATATCCCATATGGGCACCATTTCATGACCCTGCTGCTCCTCTATTGATCCAGCTCTCTGCTGATGGCCTGGGAAAGCAGTAGAAGATGGTTCAAGTGCTTGGGCCCTTGCAACCCTGTGGGAGACCCAGAAGAAGCTCCTGGCTCCCAGCTTTGGTTCTGCCCAGCTCCAGCCGTTGTGGCCATTTGGGGAATGAACCAGTGGATGGAAAACCTTTCTTCCTGTCTCTCCCTCTCTCTGTCTATAACTCTGCCTCTCAAATAAATAAATAAATCTTTTAAAAAAATTAGACAGTAGTCTATGAACTGGAAAGTACAGCCTTGCCAGATACCAAATGTGCAGGTGCCTTGATCTTGTACTTCCCAGTCTCCAGAACTGTAATAAATAAGTTCCCATGTCTAGAAGCTACTCAGTCTATGGTATTTTGTTATAGCAGCCTCAGACTTTTGACCCCTTGAGCTTGCTGCTTCATTTGCTGGGATTAGTTATTGCAATTCTCACAACACACTGAGTCAAAGGAATATATTTGCTTTGGAGACAAGTGCGGTGCACTTTCTGTTTCTTTATTTGTCTCTTATCCAGCTCTAGGCAAATTAATTACATTTCCTGAGCCAAAATTCCTAAAATGTAAGAGGGTGTGAAGATTAAATAAAAGAACTTGTATGAAAAGTGCAGCAGAGTTACACAAACACGGCAGGTACTTGAGAGTTCCCTCGCATTCCATGCTATTCCCAACTATTGCTCCTTGCCCTCATATCACTGTTACATGAGCTAAAGATTGTGCAGTACATAAAGGTATTTGTAGTGTCTCCATAGATCATTTTAATGTTCGTAGGGTCTGTAATGATATTCCTCTTTTCAAATTTGATATTGGTGATCTGTATTTTCTCTCTTCTCTTCTTGATTAATCTTGCAAGGGAATTATCAATTTTATTAATCTCTGCAATGAATCCATTTTCTTTGATTTTGTTCATCTTATATTTTACTGGTTTCTCTTTCTTATCTTCATTATTTTCCTTCCTTCTACTTACTATGTGTATACTTTGGTCTTTTTTTTTTTTTTCCCTTAAGTTGGGTAGAAACTTTGATCACTGTTTAAAGTCTTTGTTTTTCCTGATACAAGCACTTACAATTAGGTGTGTTCCTCTAAGTATTGCTCCAATTGCTCCCCACAAACTTTATGCTGTAGTTTTATAATATCTTATGATTTCTCCTTTTACCTAGTACCATTTAGAAATATATTTTTAACTTCCCAAATATTTATTTTCTAGATACTTTTATTAACATTTAATTTAATTCCATTGTGGTGAGACAAGATCTTATGTAAGATTTCAAACATTTAGATCTTCTTAAAACATGTTTATAGCATAACACATGCTCAAACATTCCATGGGCATTTGAAAGAATCTGTCTTCTGCAGATTTTTTTTTATTGTAGAGTTCAGGCACTATCTGGCGTCATTTCCTTTTAGGATAAAGTTTCCTTTTTTCTTTCTAGTAGTCCAGGTCTAATGGCTGTGATATCTCTCTCTCTCTCTCTCTCTCTCCCCCATATGAAACTTTTTTCCCCTCCACTTTTGAAGGATAGTTCAATTGAATATGGATTTCTTGGTTGTTAGTGTTTCCTGCCTGCCTCTTAAAAATCTCATTTTAATTTCCAACAGTTTCTGAAGAAAAATAAGCCATTATTCATACTTTTGTCCCCTGAATGTGATATTTCATTTTACAGACTAGCCTCTGTTTTTGTCTATAGACTCTATTTATGTCTTTGGATTTCCTACGTCTCCTCTTTGGCAATTACAACACGACCTTGGCAACAATATTAATGTACTGCAGCTGGGAACTTCTCCCATCGGCATTAAGTTAAATTTGAAAGAGATTTAAAAAAAAAAAAAACAGCGTGGAACAATTAAAAAGAAAAAAGCTGATCTCACATTGAATTTCTGTCACATGAATGCTGAGCTAGTGAATAAGATAATAGGAAAATGTGATTAAAACAACCAAACATAACATCATCTATGAAACTGAAACTGAACTAACTTTTCATAACGAACTTTCATAATTACTTAAATCAGCACTAGCTATATGGACTGTAAAGTTCTGGTATTATTCAAAGTGTGACATTACGAAGAAGATGAAAAACAGTACTATACCATTAGACACCTAAGTCACTCAGCCAGGGTACGCCTGTCTTCTCTGAACCAGTTTTTTATTTTTATCAGCTCTGCCTGATATCCCGACACTACAGACAGAGGCACGTGTTTCTAGGCTTGTATTTCATTTTTTTAAAAACCACAGTTACATTCATTCAAGGAATAAGAATTTAAATTTACTGCTAGAATTTCTTTCAACTATGGACACAGATAGGTATTGATCCCTAAACCAGGACACTGGAACATTAGTGTGCATCTCTACTCCTGACCCTTAGCTTCCCAACACCATAAGTTACTTCAACTCCAACTGTGAACAGAGATCAAGCAATGAAAGTCATACCTTTAAGCTCCAGGGTATCTTTTGAAGAGGCTGGGCAGTTGCACAAGTATTTTAGGAAAAAAAAATGGATATTTATAGAAGTATTTATAACATAATAAAATGTGGTTTACAAACCTTAAGATAAAGTACAGTCCATGTAACAAATACTTTGGGGAGATTTCTGCCTTAGGCGACCATACAGCTGCATCAGTATTTTATGAACACTCAGGGGAGGGGCATCCTTGCATTACTTTACTTTCCTATGGAACTAATGTCACTATTTACTTATCTTAAATATATATTTAAAGCAGTGCATTTAATAACCTATTTATTTGCTGCTAAGTCTCTATTTTCCAGGAGATCTTGATCTTGCCAATTGGGTTTTTCTTATCAAGGCATTTTTCAAAAATATAAACCTCAGGGTTAGTATGCCATTAGATAAACTTTTACAGAATAATTTCAAGCCTTTATTAGTATAATTTAATGAAATAAAAGAAAGTTTACTGAGAGAACCACAATGAAATGACTAACGATTCTCATCAGATCCTTAATTTACCATTAAAGACATGTAATTTGCCCTCCTAGCAATTATTTCAAAAAGCCAAACTTGTAAAAATTAAAAGTTGTTATTAATAGAAAGGATCATTTTTTCACTCGCCGATTTATAGAGCAACTAAAAACTAAAAGGCATATTAAATCCTGTAATTATATTTTACCTTCATTTTATGCATAACACTAACTACTAAACACCCAGTTTGTAAGAAAAATGTATTTTATTTTAAATTGCTGATGTTTTCAAACAACTATAGATTATTTAATTTCCAATACAACAAATGATAAGTCACTGAATGATTCTCAAGTAGTTGGCCACTAATTAAAAATGAATAAAATATGTGCAAAAGAAGCAGGAGCCACTGGCAAAGATAATTCATTTTAAATTTTCCCTTGAATAAAGGAGTAGCATGTATGTTTATCATTTTTTAAAAATCTTTGAGAATATTAAGAGATCCAAACTTGATTTATGAAAATAGCTATACAGTTCTAACTCCGTTGCCATTAAGACTTACTTAAAATTTAATTTCACATGTAGCATAAGTAGACAATTACACATCCTGTTTTGGGAACAAGCCCAGTTTATGTCTGCCATTCACATTTAGAAGATAAAGTGTATGATCACCTTTACTTTCGAATTTGGACAAACAAATTAGAATTTAGGAGTTTGGTAGAAATGGGAATAAAGTTTTTAGCAGTTAGACCAACAGAAGTTGGTCTACTTCCTACCAGTTCACTACTCCTAGCCTGACATGGGAATGGAAATTTGTTTAAAAACATCTTACTGATATTTAAAAATATCTTGCTGACAAATTTCTAGAGTAGAAATATTTTTCTGGGGTGAGAAATTAACTCCTAAAAATTTTATTTATTAAAAAAGGAACAAACTTCATGTATTTCATATATACAATTTTAAGAACAAAATAACACTTCCCTCCACTCCCTCTCTGGATCCCACTCTCCCTTGCTCCCACGCTCCCTCCTCCTTCCTTTTTTTAATTTTTGCAATGACACACTTTCAATTTACTTTAAAATCATAAGTTTGGCCGGCGCCACGGCTCAATAGGCTAATCCTCCGCCTGCGGCGCCGGCACACTGAGTTCTAGTCCCGGTCAGGGTGCCGGATTCTGTCCCGGTTGCCCCTCTTCCAGGCCAGATCTCTGCTGTGGCCCGGGAGTGCAGTGGAGGATGGCCCAAGTGCTTGGGCCCTGCACTCCATGGGAGACCAGGAGAAGCACCTGGCTCCTGCCATCAGATCAGCGTGGTGCTCCGGCCGTGGTGCGCCCACCACAGCGCGCCGGCCACGGTGGCCATTGGAGGGTGAACTAACAGCAAAGTAAGACCTTTCTCTCTCTCTGTCTCTCTCTCTCACTGTCCACTCTGCCTGTCAAAAAAAAAAAAAAATCATAAGCTTAACCCTCCACTAAATAAAGAATTCAACAAGTAGAAAAACTACTGTTCCTCATAGACAAGGGCTATAAACAATAATCAAATCTCAAAATATCAACTTTGCTCATATACACTACATTCTATGATAACGCACTATACATTTCTGAACATTATTTATTTAGATAAGTATCCCCTAATATAGATGCCAGCTTTATTTGACATACAGTTGATCAAAGGCTTATGAAAACTAAAGCAAACATGATGAAATCACACTTAAAATGATTCAATTTTAAAATGCTATAGATGATAGAGAGACTGCTGGTTTCATAGTTGTAACAGCCAAAGATTTGCAACAGACAAATTGGTATTCCCCTGACAAACTCACATATACATGCCCCGAACTCACAGGAAGCACCCATATATGTATATATAACTTGGACTTCTCTGAGAAAACATTATCGTAAGCCTAAGAACTGTCCCTGAGGAACTAAAATTCGTTAGCTGGTAGCAAGTGAGTCAAGTTTTGGTTTTAAGGGAATTTTTTTTAACTGTGTTAGCACAATGATGATGTTACTAAAAAGGTAAGTAAGAAAAGTCACACAAAAGGAACTTGGCAAATTTCTTCCAATTGTGTAACCAACTACTTAGGATGACTCCTCAACCCTCTGTTTGAGGACATTTATTATGAAGGAAGTCGTTTCAATTGTGTTTACTTGTAGGAAAAATGATTTTAAAATGTTTTTTGGGTCCCTGTTTTTTTAAAATTTCACATTTGGAGAAGAGGATTGGTCTGATTCCCCTTTGTTTCACCATTAGCAAGTTATTCTCTAACTGCATTAGCAAGTCAATGGCTAATCAGGGTATCCTCAGAAGAAATTAACCACATAGGCAGAGATTTCATGTAGTACACTCCATTAAATCATATCACCTAAAAATCATCAGCAAAAAAGTTAATTCACATAATAGTGTGAAAAGGCAATGCAGACCTTGCTCATTACACACACCTACCTCATACTGACAGAAGATCCATTGTAAAATGTTTTTCAAGTGGTATTATGTAATTTCATTTTTTTCCTTTGGTGAGTAACACCTCTGGTAAACCACGTGGAGGATAAAGGGACTTGCCTACATCCAACCACGAACCACACCCCTTTACTTTCATCCAGTATCACAGAGCATTTTTATTTCTTCCCTACAGGGATGCAGAATGTATTCAGCAAGCAAAACTGACCAAAATCATGCTTCATCTATCCATGGTGAGAGAAGAATTAAGGTTCTCTGCTAAGATCCCATATTTGTGGAGAAAACCGTCAGTGAAGGCAAAGAGAGAAGAAGGCAGGCAAGGAGGCAAGCAGGCGAAAGGACGGGGTGGGGAGATACTGTGGTTCTCTGAACGGCCAAAAAGGGATCCAAACGGCATCTCCCTAATAGGATTTAGCTTTACCAATGCTGCTCTGGCTCCAGTGACTCCCCATAAATATAAGTGAGTCAAAGTCCTATTTTTGTGCAGTACGTGGGTCTTATTAAAATGGATACTGCATTTAATTTACTAGGTAAATTATTTGCTGCACACATAATCAAAACATTCCATCATATTAGAAAATATTTAATCAACATTTATGCGGTACTGTATTATTGTAATGCATCTGAACTATGTTTTTGGAACTGCCACAGGAAAGCTGGTTTTAATAAAATGTATAAGATTGTGTGATATGGGAATATTACTCACAAAATATATTCAAATTGGTCAGCTATGCACACTTTGTAGAGATCTATGTCCAGAAAAGTTTATGGTTAAAAAATGAAGCATAGGCCGGCGCCACAGCTCACTTGGCTAATCCTCCGCCTGCGGCGCCTGCACACCTGGTTCTAGTCCCGGTTGGGGTGCCGGATTCTGTGCCAGTTGCTCCTCTTCCAGTCCAGCTCTCTGCTGTGGCCCAGGAGTGCAGTGGAGGATGGCCCAAGTCCTTGGGCCCTGCATCCGCATGGGAGATCAGGAGGAAGCACCTGGCTCCTGGCTTCGGATCAGTGCAGCGTGCCGGCCGTACTGGCCATTTGGGGGGGTGAACCAATTGAAAAAGGAAGACCTTTCTCCCTTTCTCTCCCCACCCCCACTCTCTCACTGTCTAACTCTGCCTGTCAAAAATAAATTTAAAAAAAAATGAAGCATAAAGTCAGTGTCAGGGTGTAGAGGAAGGAGCATTTTATATTATCACAATCTGCTGCAGGGACTTTAAAATCGGTCCAGGAAAGAAACATAGGAATGTAGCCAGTAAGAGAGCAAACTAATCCTAAGAGTACAGGTACGAATCAGGATTTGTTTAAACGATGGAACAACTATAACTGAGGACAATACAAGTATGGATTTTGAAGTATTAGTCACAGCAAGACAATATTTAAAACTTAAGTATTTAGATCCATTTAAAAGAACAGCTGTGAATTATGCCTTTTTTAGCTAAGAATTTTGGTAAATACAAATAGGTTCTTTGTACAATTTGAAATATAAAGTTATCTTCAATGGTGAAGAGCATTAATTGATCCTCTGAAGACCTGAAACAGAAAAGCATGGCTCTGCTCTGCAAGTGGATCAAGTAGTGACGATAAAGTCCGGGATCGGTGCTGTGGCACAATAGACCAAGCGTCCCTGTGGCGCCTGCATCCCATATGGGCACCAGTTCGTGTCCCAGCTGCTCCTCTTCCAATCCAGCTCTCTGCTATTGCCTGGGAAAGTGTGGAAGATGGCCCAAGAGCCTGTGTCCCTACACCTGAGCGGGAGACCCAGAAGAAGCTCCTGGCCCCTGGCTTCAGATCAGTCCAGCTCCAGCCATTGTCATTTAGGGAGTGAACCAGTGGATGGAAGACCTCTCTCTCAATCTCTCTCTCTCTCTCTCTCTCTCTCTCTAACTCTGCCTTTCAAATAAATAAATAAACCTCAAAAAAAAAGTCATTTCTTTCACTTAACTGTAAAGAAAAGAATCAAGCATTCAACATTTACTCAATCAAATGCACATTTTCAGACATTTCTGTAAATCAAAATGAAATCTTAAAACTTACATTGAAAGATTTGAAAAATCAAAACAATTACAAACTAGATGACTTCTTATAGCTTCAAGTAAGTACTGGCTGTAACTTACCTTAATTTTCATAAATATTTAATCAAATTGAACTAGCAATAGTTAATGTCTATTTTAAACTTAACTATATCTGGTGAGCTGCAAATTCATTCATGAGAGGAGATAATGGCCTTTATGAAACACACCAGGTTCTAGTCCTGGGTTGAGGTGCTGGATTCTGTCCAGGTCGCTCCTCTTCCAGGCCAGCTCTCTGCTGTGGCCCCGGAGTGCAGTGGAGGATGGGCCAAGTGCTTGGGCCCTGCACCCGCATGGGAGACCAGGAGAAGCACCTGGCTCCTGGCTTCAGATCAGCACAGTGCGCCAGCAGCAGCGGCAATTAGGGGGTGAACCAACAATAAAAGGAAGACCTTTCTCTCTCTCACTGTCCACTCTGCCTGTCCAAAAAATAAATAAATAAATAAACTTATATATACATTTAGTTACACTAAATTACCAAAATAAAATTGAAATCGGAAAAGTGTGGCCCCTTAAATTTCCCTAGAAATGCTATCTGGGGTGCCACATGTGCTACCGGAATTTGGGGTGCCATACAATTTCACCACGGGCTTATTACTAAATCCCCAATATTAATAAGCTCAATAGGGTTCTTGCCTAATATTTAGAGAAGAATTCTAAATACCAGCACAGATGAATGAGGCAGCATGGTACATTTTAAGCTTTTATTTAGTGAGAAAGATGCATAGGAGAGTGAGAGTTTTACTTAAGAGAGAGAGGTGTTGGCAGGCGCCGTGGCTCACTAGGCTAATCCTCCGCCTTGCGGCGCCGGCACACCAGGTTCTAGTCCCGGTCAGGGCGCTGGATTCTGTCCCGGTTGCCCCTCCTCCAGGCCAACTCTCTGCTGTGGCCAGGGAGTGCAGTGGAGGATGGCCCAAGTGCTTGGGCCCTGCACCCATGGGAGACCAGGAGAAGCACCTGGCTCCTGGCTTCGGATCAGCGCGGTACGCCAGCTACAGCGCGCCGGCCGTGGCGGCCATTGGAGGGTGAACCAATGGCAAAAGGAAGACCTTTCTCCCTGTCTCTCTCACTGTCCACTCTGCCTGTCAAAAATAAAAATTAAAAAAAAGGGCTTTAAAAAAAAAAAGAGGGAGAGAGAGGTCAATATGGGTTCATACCAAGCACCAGGAACCAGCCACATGGAAGAGCATCTAGGCCTGTATCTGGGCCAGGAAGCCTAGAGCACATGGCCCAAAGGCCATGCGCCCTGGAGGTGCAGGGCTACAGCAAGCCACCTCCTGACAAGAGGCCAGGGAAGAAGAGCCTCCCAGGGCCACACAGTTCCTGGCTTTTAACCCACTTCCAAAGGGAGTGGTTAATTAACCTGATTGGCTGGTGGGCACCCGGGTGTGGCCAGGTGGGGGAATGAGGCCACACAGGGGCGTGGCAAAGGTCTTCCAGTTCACAAATCTAAGTATTTTAGCCTGTATGTCTGCCTACTTCAAATGAATTTTCATCACCAACTTTACTGACTACAAATGGGTATGTCAAACTGAGAAATTTTGTTTTATTTTCGGATACCCAAACCCAATCTATTACTGATTCTAAGTATGGTGCTGATAAAACATGGCTAACATTTCTTGGCAAATTTAATTTGCACCTTCACTTTTGTCAAGAGAACTGGCTGGGACATGGATACATTTATTCTCTGTTGTCTGTCTCTCATTTATAAAAGTTTAAATAATTTTACTGCAGACTGAAATTTTTTAAAACAATGTTGGACATTTAAATATATATTATGTGTATTACAATGCAAATATATATGCATATATATTTGCAATATATATATATTACAATACAAAAGACTACTTCACATCAGATATGGAAATGAAATAAATTATAATTTTCTATTAGCATACAAGTAGATTTTCAAGGATAATTACAGCTGTATGGAAACAACTCCTTAGGTGCTAAACTATTCAAAGGTGCCAAATCACAGAAATTGCTGTAAGTTTCTAAAGAAAGGAATATGTTCCACCAGAGAATCTATTTTGCTAAATCAATGGTCTATTCAGTATATTTTTGGTAAATATATTTTTTTTGAGAGTTAGTTACAGACAGTGAGAAGGAGAAAGAGAGAATGGTCTTCATTCTGTTGGTTCGCTCCCGAGATGGCCACAATGGCCGGAGCTGTGGCAATCCGAAGCCAGGGGCCAGGTGCCTCCTCCTGGTCTCCCATGCGGGTGCAGGGCCCAAGAACCTGGGCCATCCTCCACTGCCTTCCCAAGCCATAGCAGAGAGCTGGATTGGAAGAGAGGCAGCTGGGACTAGAACCAGCGCCCATATAGGATGCCGGCACCACAGGCGGAGGATTAACCTACTGCACCACGGCGCTGGCCCCAGGTAAATATATCTTGAAAAAATTATGTATGAATTCTAAACTTTTTACACCAAAGTATGCACCCTGTTAAGTATATTTCTTTAATAAAAATAGTTAAATATTTATTTAAAAGGCAGAGTTAAATAGAGAGAGAAGAGAGAAAGAGAGAGATACAATCCCCAAATGGCTGCAATGGACAGGGGCTGTACCAGGCCAAAGCCAGGAGCCAGAAGCCAGGAGCTTTATCCAGGTCTCCTACATGAGTGCAAGGACCCAGGCATTTGGGCCATCTTCTGCTGTGCAGAAGCATTGGCAGGGAACTAGATCAGAAGTGAAGCAGCCAGGATTCTCGTAAGTACCTATATGGAATGATAGAATCTCAGGTGGTGGCTTAACCCGGTGTGCCACAACACTGGACCTGATAAATATCTCAGACTCAGTAGGGAATAATGAGAGGGAAGAATCTCCCCCAGTTTACTCAAAGGAAATAGCCTTTGTGGAAAGGAGTGGAAGAACAAAGATGAAGCACAACAGCACATAATACCTGTCCCTGTATTTAAACTCGACAAGCACAGAACTGAAATCATCTTTGAGGTCAACAAACTGGACTTGTGATGTGTAATGGGCAGCAGTTTAATCTAGCAGCTTTTGAGATGAGAAATTCTCACAAAGGGGTGTTTCATAAAGTTCATGGAAAAATAGAATTAAAATATTCATATAGAAATATACATACAGAAATAAAATATACATATATACACATGCAAAAAAGTAATGAAATCCATGCATAGGAGGGTCTCCAAAAGGTTAATAGAACAGATACATTATAAAAAACTATATATGGACTCCCAAATTTTTTGTACCAGATTCAATATATCTTTTATTTCCATTTTTTTCCTGCAAACTTTTTGAAATAACTTGCCTTTACAAAATAAACCAGCAAGAAAAGCACTCTTTGAAATAAATTATTAACATCTCAATGCTTGGAGTCAAACAACTTCCTTAAATTATTTATTGAGTACCCACTTAAAACAGTCACAGTTCTAGGCACTGTGCGTATAGAAAGGAGTGAGCCAGATACAGTCCTGGGGAAAGAAGGCGAGAAAACAACAAGAAGAGGCAGTAAAACAGAGGGAGATGATGGTGGAAAGCTGGAGGTGAGGGGAAACATGAGATGAGGCATCAGGGAACCAGACTTTCTAAGGAGAAAGGTTACTGCAGAATCCACATATTCTTTTTTTTTTTTTTTTTTTTTTGACAGGCAGAGTGGACAGTGAAAGAGAGAGACAGGGAGAAAGGTCTTCCGTTGCCGCAGAATCCACATATTCTTTTAAATGCATTTGCCTCATATTTTCAACTCATGATCAAGCACTGTTACAATATTACCTAGCAGATTGAGGACATCCCCATGCAAACATTTCAGCAGCGTCAATTATTCCCATCCTACTGGCAGAGCAGTTTGCTTTGATTGAATGGAAAGGACAGGAATGGTCTTGGGACACAAGAGGCTAACCAGAGGTTACAAGGAAGAGAGAGAAATGGGAGGAAGACTTGGTGTAAATGTAGTTTTGAATTCAAGAGGGACTACTTCCAACTGAAAAAGTACTACGGATTGCGTGAGAGAAACTGGGACACTTAGCATTATCCAGAGATACGGAATGTGGATGAGTACATTTTTTGACTGGCTACATCCAGAAAGATTTCAAAAAGAATAATGGTCTTGCATTGTAAAGGTAATACCAAAAGAAGGGGAGGACATATGCAGTGAGTCCAATTAATTATGCCAAACTGAAACAGGATGAATTGTTTCAAAGTCAACTTTGAGAGCCAATGGATTTTTTTCATTAAAAACAACTAGAAATTAAAAGACTGAACATGCCATGTAGGAAGACATCTAATTAAAATAAAACTATTAATTACTATAAAAGTGAAATATATACACAGAAAGTAAAGAAATGATTAGCAATAAAATACAAAGCTTTAATAAAAGTCTTACTTTACAAGTTTCTTTCCCTATGTCTAGATATATGTCTGTATGAGGATACTTCAAAAATGAAATTAAAAGGTAAGCTTATTTATTTATTTACTTTTTTTTGACAGGCAGAGTAGACAGTGAGAGAGACAAACAGAAAGGTCTTCCTTTACCGTTGGTTCACCCCACAGTGGCCGCTGCAGCCGGCGCACTGATCCGAAGCCAGGAGCCATGTGCTTCCTCCTGGTCTCCCATTGGGTGCAGGGCCCAAGGACTTGGGCCATCCTCCACTGCACTCCCGGGCCGCAGCAGAGAGCTGGACTGGAAGAGGAGCGACCGGGACAGAATCCGGTGCCCCGACCGGGACTAGAACCCAGTGTGCCGGCGCCACAGGCAGAGGATTAGCCTATTGAGCCACAGTGTCGGCCCTAGCATTCTTGCATCACAGTATATATACACTTTGAAGAGTCTTTACACACATTCCCAACTGATTTACTGAAGATGAATCAATTTCTACAATCACTTCTATTCAGTACAAAATATAATTAATTTTCAGGGGATGAAAATGAGACTATTAGTTTTAATTAGCACTTTATCCATAAGTAGCATATGTTTCATGTTTGCTGGTCAACAATAGGACAAAAAATAATCCACTTCTGATCTTTTAAATAAATGTTTTATTATTTCCTTTATAGATATCTAAGAAGGCTTAATACGGTACACATGTTAATAATTTGTTATGTATTCCAACATAGTCTGACTTGTAACTCTCCTTTTACTATGCTTGTTTCAGTCATACAAAAAATTCTCATTATATGCCATTATATGCAAATATATTAATGTGACACCATGATCATATCTGTTAGTTTTATATTTTTTGCTTAAAAACTTTTTATCCATCCCAATATTATTTTTTTTACATTTTTCTTTTAGGTTTTGTGGGTTTTTAAAAATTTTTGGTTGATATATAATAATTGCACATATTTATGAATTACTGTGAATACCTTGATCCATGTAGAGGATGTGTAATGGTCAAGTGAGTGGGATAAGTTTTTCCATCACTTCAAATATTTATTATTCCCTTGTGTTGGGAACATCCAAAATCCTCTCTTCTAGTCATAAGCAGTAAATTATTAGCTATAGTCACCCTACCGAGCTAGAGAACACTAAAACACATTCATCTTTTCTAACTGTATTTTGGTACCCGTTACTTATCCTGTCTCTGGATGCTCTCTCCGCTACTCTTCCCAGCCTCTGCTGACCTCTGTTCTACCCTAATCCTATGAGATCAACTTTTCTGGCTTTCACATGTAAGTAAGATCATATAGTATTTGTTTTTTCTGTCCTTGACTTATTTCATACAATATTATGGCCTCAAAACTCATCCAGGTTATAACAAATGAGAGGATTCCATTCTTTGTTACAACTGGATAATATTCCATGTGTATATATACCACATTTTATTTGTCCATTCATCTGCCAATGGATCTCTTAGTTGATTCCATGCCTTGGAATTCTATGCATTGGCTCTTGTGAATAGTGCTGCAACAAACATGTGAGTTTATTATAGATGGGCTGGAGGGAGAAGGAAATGGATGGGAATGGAAATGAGGTAGCAAGGACAGGAGAAAGGAAAGGAAGATGTCACAGAGGTCTTCAAGTTGAGAAAATGGCATATTACACTGAGTGAATAACATTAAGAGAGAAAGCCTTTTTTTCTCCAACTATAGTAGTCCCCTTTGTCTGTGGAAGATATATTGCAAGACACCCCACACGGAACCTAAAACTGCAAATAATACAAAAGCTTATATAGATAGATATATAGATAGATAGACATACAGATATACAATGTTTTCCCTAAACATTCATACCTGTGATAAAGTTTAATTTAGAAATTAGGCACAGCAAGAGATTAACAAAGATAACTAATAATAAAATAGAATAAATATAATAATGAACTATAATAAAATCTCCAGAATCTCTGTTCTTGTGCTTTGGGATTATTATTAAGTAAAATTAGTTATTGGAACATAATCAGTGTAATAACACCAACAGTTGATCTGATAACTGAGATGTCTAGTAAGTGACTAACAGGTGCATAGTATGTACAGAATAGATAGATTGGACAAAGGAATGATTTATCTACAAGGTATCTCAGGATACCTTGAGATTTCATCATGCTCCTCAGATCAGCATGGACCTAAACTTATGAATTTCTTATATCAGTGATTTTTCATCTAGTATTTTCAGACTTCAGTTGACCACAAGTAACTGAAATCATGCAAGGCAAAACCAAAGAAATGGGGGACTGCTGTACTTTATTCCTCTCCTTTTTTAAAAAGGTTGCCTGAAACAGTAGTCTATATTCATGGATCAAGACTTCATTACTACTTGTTCTCCAGCTCAAATACAATCTGGCTCCCATCGTGGCCACTCCTCTGCTTTCATCAGAGTCACCAATGTCTTCCAGATGATACATCCAAGGTACAACCATCAGGTTTTCGCTGCCATACACTCTGGAAGCACTTAACACTGTCAGCATGTACTCCATGGTGAAACTCTCCCTGGTGGTCTTTTGTAATGGCTCTCTCTGACTCCCTTCTCTCTAGACACTCCATCTCACCTTCTGCAAAGTCCTTCCTTTCTCGTCTCTCACTGCTTCTCTCCTCTAAATGCTGATGAACAAAAATGCATAATAGACTTCTGGTTGCTTTATTTTTGCAAAATGTTTTGTATCACTGACAAAATTTTGCTTCAAATTGAGAGTACAAAACTGGAGTCAACTGTCCATCAAATTACTACTCTGATAGTTTTCTTTGGTGACTGTTAATTTATCAACAAGATTTTAATTAGACATATTTTTACACAATTTTAAAAACTCAAGACCATTTAGGACCATTCCCTGTCTTCTTCAGATTGATGCCTAAATGGAGTACTTGTAAATTAGGTAGTTTATAAGGGGAAAAAAATCCTTCTGTATAAAACAATGAGAAAAGCAAAATCCCTTTACTTGAAACTTACGAAACTTTCCTTTTACACCGTGATTCATGTAAGGCCCCATAAAAACCATTTCAAACTATCAGAATCTGGTTACCTTAAAAATATATGTTGGTATGTAAAACTTCTGAGTTCTAATTCTAAGAAAAGAGACCGCACAGAAAGGATGGAACAATGGTATGGAAACTTACCATCCTCTCCAATTGGACGCTTTATTGCAGACTTATTGCTTCCATGTGTTTAAAAAAAAAAAAAAAAAAAACCTCAAACCTTTAAGCCAACCACAATCCCTAAAATTTTGGCACTCTTATTAAGCATTGAATCCAGACGAAAAAAAAAGTTTTTATTATCACAATTCTATCACAGTCAAGACTAATTTCATCATTATGGGAATGTGTCAGAAATTAATAATAAAGGTTGGTTTCTCCAATGCATGAAGAAATTATGCTATTTAAAGCTGCTAAACTACCTTAAAATGTTCGGTCTTAATATTTAAATAAATAAAATACATGTGTTGAATGAACACTGCATTCTAGAACATATAATATAAATTAATTTGAGGGAATATTAAAATAAATGAGGTTAACACTTTTTGCGCAGTAAAGACTACTTTTTGAAAAACTTGTTTACATAAACCCGAGAAACAAGATCACCACAAAAAATCAATTTACATAATTTTCTGAAGCAGTAAAACCTTTGCTCAAACTACACAATGCCAAGGTCAATGAATTGCCTGAATTCTGTTGTCTTTGCACTCTCCCATAAATCACAGGACTTCAAGAAGCACTTCAGGTTTCAGTACATGTTGAATGAAAGAAAAGAAGGAAGAAGTTCCCTGACCCAAAGTGAGAACAGATGGGAATGTAAAATTAGATAGGAAGAGACAGTGAAGCTTTGGATGCAGGAACCAAAAATCTGCCCCAGAGGGGGCCAAGCATACCAAACCTCAGCCTGTTCTCCCTCCCAGTTAAATTCCAAATTAAATCCAATAGAAATGCAAAACAACTCTTAGTTGTGCCATTTTATATTTCCATAACCCTTGATTTCCATATAAATATTATGAAGAAACTTAATAAGTGTAAGTAAAAACAATTTCATGTCTAATCAATATAGTCTCCTAATTACCTTTTTGTGAGTTTAACACTTCAAACTCTTAACAATAAATTCTTTTAAATAATAAAGCAAACGACTTTATGAAAAACCCAAAGGCATGAATAAACTTAACATATGGACACTAAACTCCTTGTTTGATTAAAGAGCCATTTGTCACAGGTGGAATAATTACATAAAAATATAATGAACATATTTTCTGTTGTTCTACTCATATTTTAGCTGTATAACAAAAGATAATCTTTTAATAGTAATGCCAATAATACAGCACTAATAATACTTCCTATTAAAAGTTCCTTTGTTTGAGACATACATTCAGACAGCACAGTGTAATTTTTCTGTATAAAAATATCAATTGCAAACTTAAAAATATTCATTCTCTATAGTACATTGTGTTCAACAATGTTATTTTTAATTTGAGTAATAACTTTAAATTTGAATTTAAAATATTCCAAAATTTTAGGTGTTCAGATTTTAATGTACTTGAAAACAGTAATTTTATTAATAATTATTCTCTCTTAAGATTAATTTTATAGAATTAATCCTGAGGTTTTAAGTAGCTAGGAGATATCTTCCACAAAATAGTGCTGTGGAGCAAAATTTTTATTTACACACTTGCACATAAAATTAACCCACATTGTTGCAATCAGTCAATATTTTAATCAACAGTACTCAAATTTATAGATCTTTCTCATCGAGAATTTTAAACTTCTTTCCCAAAGTGACAATAGAATTCCTCTGTGTACATTTTGCTTGCCATACCCGAAAGTTAACTTTAATACCTTACACCTGTTTTATCTTTTTTACTCTTACAAAGTATACACAACAAAAAAAATATAGAAACATGAGCCAATCCCAGTGGTGAAATCAACCACACCTCACACTTAAGTGATTTCATTTTAAAACAACCCAAGGTGCTGGTAATTTGATCCAGGTTTCAGCTGTAATATGAACCGAAGCCTTTCATGGAGAACAAGCTAAGTATGCTATGTTTCATTTAGTTGTGTATGTGCATGGAAAATTACTGAAAAGTATGTTTTATTACTCAGATTACTCAAAATAATATGCAAACATTACTACTGGAAAAGAAAAAAATTTAAGCATCTAGTTTTCTTTTTTATCAATAAAAGTCATCACAGTAAAACATTTGGAGATACCATGCTCATTAAATTTTATCCAAGTTCATTTTCTGCACTTTCTATTTGTGCCAAAAAAAAAATTGAATACAGCAAAATTGACAGTGTATAGTTTCAAATTAATCACCATATTAATAAATCTAAATTCTAATTACCCAAGATATTAAATGCAGATCTAGAAACTTCACAGTATTGCCTTAATTTATTTTGTGGTTAGCTGGCTGAATGACTTTATTATGGAAAACAGAGTGCATTTATAATAAATCCAAAACTTCTATCTTCCTCTTGGGGGACAGCGGATTTTCAATAAAGAGTACACACGTACACACTTAACATTTAGTCAAGACTCCTGTCCTGGAATCAGATCTTATACTATCTTATAAAGCCAAAGCACTGGGGAGGACTCTCATCTCTAATAGGACTCTCATCTCCAATGGTTTAGAATAAGGTTCCTCAAACTACAGACTGCAGACACCTGAGCTACATGCTTGGGCCTCTGAGAGTGTTATAGGATGTCTTGTTTTGCTTTTTTGTGTTTTGATTTTTTAGGGGGGTGTCTTTGTATCATGATATAAAAGTGATTATAGTTTCAAAATCTTATTGACAACTTTTACTAGCAATTATAATAAGCTAATTTCAGGATCTGATTTGTATATTCTGACTATGCTTTTTGGTGTTATCCAGGTTTCTTCGTGACTGTATTTAACTCTTAAAATACAGTTTTTCAAACAGTGATTCACTAAAGTACTCTGGAACCTAAGAGGCATTTTCCCATTAAGGTGAGTTCACATATCATTCAAAATCAAGCTACTCTAGATTAGATTATCTAAGTCTTTTCCACTTTGAAAAATGTTATATCCTATTGTAGTCTACCAATAAATTATGGAGATTAAACTTAAAAAGCATACTTAGAGAAAGCAAACACCACAAAATAAGTCATAATTTCTAATCCCACCTGTGCTCTACTACATTTTCCTTTTGCAACTACATGCAAGTGAAACTTCTGAGATAAGAGTAAGTTGTCAGCATATAAAACCAAAGAGGGCTGTGGAAGTTTCTATTAGCATCAGCCACTATGATTTTAAATTGTTTAGTAAACAACATATTAAGTAGGAGTCAGAAAATCCAGTTTCTTTTTTCCAGTTTGGCCTTTTGGTTTGAAATATAATCTTGATATTATAGTGATATATTCTTGCTACCTCCATTTTTTAAGTTAGTTCATTATGCTACTCAATGAATAAAATGCAAAATAAACTCTTGGTACTCATGTTATATAATGAGAAGCAGTATGCTTCAAATTGTTATCTATATAATAAATAGAAAAAATCTATAAAACTCAATTACTTGCTTTTTCAAATTTTCTTAATACCTTTATATATTGTAAAAAAGTGTAATTTTAACTGAATGTAATTATGAGTTATTTTAATCTGGTATTTAAAATATTTCTGATTACATTTATTTAATCTAATTCGAAGATATAGTTTTGCCAGTTAGCATTTATTTTATTGGCAAAAAAAATCATTGTTTACCAGCTACAAGTTGAAAAAAAATCATTACTTATATAATTTTAAGCCATATACTCTTACAGGAATTCTCTACTCATCTTAACAATTAAAGCATAATATAGCACCAGTAAAAAGAAGTAAAATGTTTGCAAACTACAAAGATATTCTGAATTTTAAATGCATGTATCTTACATTTTAAAGGTATTAAATTCTTAATTTAAACAGTTAGGAACAATGAAATTTTTAAAAGTTACTTTATGCATCTTTATTAACAAATGTCAATACAATTTTTAAATAAAAATCCTCCAGAAATATATCTACAGAATTTTTTCCTGATATGCAGCATCTTAAGTGGACATTTTTAGATATAAATATTTTAGAATAATTTCTAAAGCATTGCCATAGCAAAATATAATTTGATTAAACTAATAAATTACTTATAATTTGATTTTTTGACTTTTCACAGATGTATTTTTGAAAGGTGAAATCTAAGATTGATGTCATCATCAATCTGTTTTATAATACCTTAAAGTTTTGTTTAAAAAAAACTATCAGATTGAAATTACAAGATTTTTCTTTCTCTGCTAACCTAGCAAACACAACTGAAGTTACTTTATTAAACGTATTTCAAACTTTCTTCTTCCCATAAAGAATTTTTTTTAGCTTTTATTAATTTACATTTTCTTTTCCAGATGATGTGATAAGACCATTAACTAAAGGACAGTGAAGCAGAATTGGAAAGGAAAAACTACATTTCCAAAATATGCAGACTTTTATATACCACCATCAATAATTTTTTTCTTCTGGAATAGGCATGTGCAATTACACCAGTGTTGGAATCCCTGCCCACAACGACTCTACCTGAACTGTAGAGCTGATTTCTGATGCAAAGCCACCTGTCAAAGGAGCTTCATGACTGATTAGCAGTCGTCCTGTTTTGATCACAGACTGAAAGAGAAAAGAAAAACCTGATGTTGGAGAAAATAGGCATTTCAAGCATACAATTTAATTCAGCAATAAAAAATAAATTACTCCGATTCAATACATTAGATAAAAATCAGTAATTCGATTTTATGCCAAAAATTCTTTTTAAACTGCATAGTCACCTGAATTTTGTACTGTTAAAAATTTTTTTCAATATAGTTCACATTCCCAGTGCAAAAGAAAAATTAGATTGTAATTCTATATGTGCAATTAAAAATTCATGGCCATTAATATATTTTTCTGTGGAAAATGAATTACTGAATTTCATATTTTACCTCAATATCAATTATTTCCTTCATATTATTTTAAGAATGAAAGTGCTTTCTCGTTCACTTTGAGGAATACACATATAAATAACAGCTCTCATAAATGTTGCTTGTAGAAAACACAGAAATAGCTCATAAAAGCTGTAGCAAAGGAAAAGTACAGCTACTACACATTTGAGGAAACCCAGCAGCAAGAAACCACTACTAAAATAAAAGGGTTATGACCTTTGTTGTTAATGAACACTGAAATATGGCTAATGACCGTAACTCTGTTTTACTGTGGAAAGTGTCACAAACAATAAGGATATGTTCGTGACAGTTTTTCACTGTGCTGGTTCACACTCTGCATAACACACTTTGCCCAAGAATAAATCAGAAAGTATAGCTTTGATACCATAACAGGATGCCAGCTGTGTTGGGAGGTAAAAATCATTCAAATCAACAGCAAGTTATTGCTTAAAATACACTGGACAATTATGTTACAAAAGAGAAGTAGTAATTTCTTAAAATTTCTAACAATTTGTTATCCCTTTTCTTAAAAACTATTTTTGTTAGTTTGTAAATATTTTTATGAATGCATGGTTTTACCCAAATTCATTCACTATTCTAAACAGAATTTTAAAAGTGTGTAGGAATTTCACCAGTAGAAGCAAAACACTGAGATATGGTCATTATCTGTGGCAAAAATAGGCTATTATATCCACTAAATAATGAGTGACTAAACACCATAAAATTTTATGAACACTTTATGGATATCACCCCACTACCAATGAAATGCTAACCAATTTTGAAATATTAGTAATTTAGTGTTCTACAAATCTGATGAATTATGCAATTTGTAAAAATCACAAATTAAATTTCAATGTACCTAGACATAAATATGAGACAAAAATATTCCAAAATTAGAAAAAGAAATTTTCAAAGCGTTCTCTTAACAGTGTTCTAAGGATGACCAACTACAAAAGCAGATTCTGACAATCAGTCCTTACAGCTCTAAAACCCAGAATTCGGCCAACGTAGAAGGGTCTAACGGGGACATAGCCAAAATCCATCTAAAAGCATCTTAAATTCCTGGCAGGAAGAAATGAGGGATTTCTATATAAAAAAATGTTGGTGTTACCCTAAAGCCCCATATAATGAATTGCTCCTTTTTTCTGAGCCCAGGTGTATACGGGATCATATCACAACACTTTAGAACAATTCTTGCAAGAAGCAAGGAGAGCAGATGGTCCAGGCTTCTGTAGCCTGTTGAGTGGAGGGGAAAACAAAGCACAGGTGGACCTAAACCCATGGGGTTCATGCAACACAGTGTGTAAGCACAGGAATGCTGGAAACCTTCTGAGAGTCCTTTGGTAGAGGAATAGCTACAATCAAGGGGACTTCAAGAAGGTTTGTAGGAAAATAGAAGTAAAAGACAAGTTTATTTTGATTCAAACAAGCCTGAAATTCATGCACAGTTGTTTTTAATAAATATATTTCTCGTGAACATTTTGAAGATCCTTCATAGGCATGGAGTTCAAAAAACTGCACCACAGTAAACTTATTTCTTAATTGTACTTTCCAGAAACAGTTTAAAGTACTCTTGTAGACCACTACACATCAACACGGAGAGTACTATGCAGCCACAAAAAAGAATAAGGACATGGAAAGATGCTTATGGAAAGCTAACTAGTGAAGTAAGCAAGTTGCAGGCAATATAACCTCATTCATGTGAAAACAGTCACCACAGACAGTGGGTGCACATCAGGAAACATATCTTTTTAAGCCTACATATCTTTATGAGCCTACATATATAACAATCTGGAAAGATTCATTCCAAACTACCAAACATTGTTTTTCCTGAGGAATGACAGTGAGGGAATTATGAAGAAGATACTTACACTTTTTGTTTTGTATATTTTGAATTATTGGAAACCTTCTAAATAGGTTTAAAATAAATAAAAATAATGGAAAAGCTCCTGAATTTATTTTGAAGTTAACAAATACAAGTTATATTGCAGTCACAATATTCTCAAAACAAAACAAACATTTGTTATATTTTAGAACTATCCTCAGAAACAAAGGAATCCTGATTCCCAAACTCTGGCAGCAAACAGCATATTGAAAACAAAAGGAGACTTTCTTTCTATGCTGCACGTAGTATCATATTCCGTTCATCATTTGACCCACAAGCCCTTGCATGCTCAACTAAATGAGAAAATAAATGCTGGTATCGGAGATGATTTTGATCTTCAAAACTTCTGTATGTGCATTACATAAAATTACATGTTCTCAGGAGCAGGCATTTTCACACAATGGGTTAAGCTGCCACTTGGGATGCTCACATCCCACATGGAGTGCCAGTTCAAGTCCCAGCTACTCCACTTCTCATCCAGCTGCCTGCAAATGCACCTGAGAAGAAGCAAAAAATGATGACCCATGAACTTTGGTCCCCTCCACCCACATGGGAGACCTGAATGTATTTCCTGGCTTCTGACTTCAGCTTGGCCCAACCTCAGTTGTTGCAGGCATCAGTTGAACCAGCTGATAGAAATTCTCTCATTCTCTCTGTCTCTCCCTCTCTCTCTTTCTCTCACTCGCTCTCTCTCTCTCCCCCCCTCCTTTATCCCTCCTTATACCTATGCCTTTCAATAACCCCCTAAAAAATAATAAAAATGTGTTCTCAGATGAGAACATGAAGGCAATTCCAGAAATTTCTAAAACACCAACAATTAGTGCATAGGTATGATGGAAACTAATCACACTCTGAGCTTGTGTATGTTGCCAGTGTACACCACATGTAAAAGATATATAGTGTGGCAAGAAGAGAGGAGTCAGAAGTAACTGTCATAACCACATACAATGACTGCCACAGGGATTGCTGTATGCTAGGCTCTAAGCTATTTCATTTTACATTCATTACTTCATTAAAGTTGAAAGCCATTCAATTCCATTTTTCAGTCCTAAAATTAATGTTCAAAATCTAAAAAGTATAAAAATGTATAAAATGAAATTATGCCAAATTTTTGAAAACGACATTTAGAAGTAACACCAAATTCTCATTTACACTCTCCAAGAATTACCATTACACTTAGTGAAATAAGCCTGTCCCAAAAAGACAGATAGCATATATTTTCCCAGATCTGGGGTAACTAATAGAGTACCTAAAATGTAATATATTGGAGTGAATGGACATTTTGAGATTTGATGATTATTTACATCCTTTGTCTCTTCTGTTTTCTTCATATATTTGTTGAATTTTTTACTTAGTGTAGGGTTAACCTTATGAGTATTAATAAACTGAAAATAGATCTTTGTAAAAATTAAGAGTGGGAATAGAGGAGGGAGGAGATAGAGGGTGGAGTATGGGCGGGAGGGTTCCTAAATCTGTATGTGTTCCTAAATCTGTATATTATAATATATGAATTACATGGAACTTACATAACTTAAATAAAATTTCAAAAATAATTAGCATATATTCAAATGTTGGAATATAGTTCAATCATTTTGTGGGGAATCATAGGACTTAATTTGGTACATCATTTTTATCACTTGCAATTTAAATACACCAAAATTGCCAAAAACTGCTTTTCTATACCATTATGAAAATTATTAACAGTTTGTTAATATTGTGAAAATGAGATCATTACAAATATGTAAACCTGAAGAGAATGTTACCCTTTTTATTCTCTGGGTTCAGTTATTCTGATTAAACTACATATTTTTATCATCTTTAACACACTTTTGTTGTTTGTACATGTAGGCAAAATAATATACAATTGTCAGGAAAATTTCCTAATCAAATTTATCATTTTGATATACTTAGAGAGTAAAAATTCATATGATATTTTTCAATGGAGATAGCCACTAACCATTCTAAAATAAATAACTTCAGATATAAATAATAATAGTATTTTAGAATTCAGGTCTTCTTCTGAGATTAATATATTTCTTCCCTTGAAAATACATAAAAGTATTTAAACAACTTTTCAATATGAACATCTCAAAGCCAGGAAAGATCACATAAGGCTGGATTTTCCAGTATCTGCTTCTCCAACTTTTTACCACTAAGAACTGCTCCTGGATCCTGGCAAGCCAGATGGAGCACCAGTGAGTTAGAGGTGACAAATGGCACCAGCCAAACCTAAGCCAATTAAAGATTAGGACTATGTGTCTTCTACCACAAAACCAAGGGGCTTTGTTCTCTGTAAAGGCATTAGAAGATTTGTCAAGAAAACTTTAAAAACAGTCCTAAAAGCCTAGGATGTTTCTCACCATTTCAATGTTTCAACCCTTCACTACAGACTATCATAAAAGGAGTAATCAGATCTCAACACTGAGCACACAACATTGCCAACAACAGACACACCATGACATCCCTGCTCCGGTGGAATCTCAGAAAGCACTTGTTTAGTCACTCTGTGACTTCCCCACCGCCCATTTTCTAACCACTTGTCTTGATTCATGGCCATGAGTTAAAGTTACCCATGCAGGATGTCCAGCACAATACTCTGAACATGATAGACACTCAAAAAAAATTAACTAGATAGAAACCTATTTTAAAATGGTTTCAACATTATACATGTCCTCTTTTAATTTCTGCTATTGTTTTCTTAGCAAAATGCATTTTAAGATCTTATAATAGTACACTTCAGCATATCCCAGAATAACTTAATTATGAAATATGACTCCAAATTGATGATATTTTCATGTACCTTAAACAATAAGATACTTGAGGAATACAGAGTTGCTAAGTTATTCTCCATTAAAATGATTGCACAGACTTTGGCTGCCCAAACATTGGACATGTGTTTTAGTGAATGCAGACTTTAAAGATTTTAACACAATCCAACCAGCAAAACTGCTAAGCTGTCATTTCAAGAGAAAATGATACAGACAGGCAGACCATTAAGTTTGCATATGCCTGAAAGTGTAACAGTGACATTCAAAAAAGACATAATAGATGTGTGTGTGTGTGTGTAATTTCTTAGTGAAACTCTATAGCAAGACTTTCTCCCTCAGACAATTCAACCTTACCAACATCAAGTTCAGCAGCCTACTCTGCCTGTTGATAAAGCAAAAAAATCACATTTTGGAATAGGCAATTTATAACACTTTTAACCTTTTCTATCCTGAATATAAAGCTAATGAAAAGCAAGAGAAACATCACAGCTGGCCTTAACCAGTACCTCATATATATAATACATAACTTTAACTACAACTAATGGTAAAATCATAATATGTAGCTTTCTTAATCAAGAATATATTAATTAGTAATCATTTATACACTTAGAATCACTCAGAACAAAGTTTTGATGACCTTCAAAAATCAATGCAAATGATACACTGTTAGATATATTTTTGACAGTCTTTCATGTTTAGAAGCCTAGTGCTTCTGACAGTTGGCCAGGAAAACATCACAACTAATCATAGGCTAACAACTGTATTAATATATGCCTAGTAACTACTATTAATCAGCATGACCTCCACACACAACTGGACCATTGGCTGATATCCCACTGGAGAAATACCAGTGCTAAAAGAGAAAGAACAGTCATGAGTTCCAGAGGAAGTTCTGAAAAGTCCATTTTGGCAAGGATGTTGCTGGTGGAGTTACAAATATTTTAGTATTGTAGGAAAGTGGTGTAAACTGAGAAAAACTAAATCCTCAGGGCCTTATCGCCCATGTGGAAAAAGTAGGTAAAGGAGCAGACAGAACACAAAGAGAATTGAATAAAATCACAAGTTGAAGAGTAAGAGTAAGCAAATACTACTGATAAAATATTTAATAAATAAATAATAAATAAATGTTTGGGAAATTCTCAGACATCCTCGCTGATTCACTCTTTCTTCTATTATTTCTACAACCAAGGCTGAAAGACTGAAGATACTAGGGAAAAAGAAACACTTTTTCAAAATTAAAATTTGATATCTTTTGAAAATTATTTCAGAATATTTCAGATAAACACATTCCTGCCAATCAACCTTATCGTTATTGCTTCTTATCTCATGGCCCCACTATGCTCCAGGCATGTCAGGCCACTGGCTACTCTGTGAAGGTGAGCCAGGCTTTTCTGCCTGATTTTCTTCTCAAAACTGCCAAGCACACATCCCTCCCTCAAGACCCATCCCCTAGAGTCCCTCCTCCCTGGTCCCCCTAGTCAGCTGGGCTTTTCTTATTTTAAATCCCATGATACTATTCTGTCTTTTTGTTTATCCTATTACCTATATTCTAGCTACTATTTTCCTAATACAATTTGAGGTAGCTAACAATGAAAAGATATTTTATGGAACTAGAAACCAGGTACAAGCCTCAGAATCAAGTAATAGGTCAAGGCAGCGTACAAGGCTTGGGAATGTTAGTCATTTACCTCACAGCAAGCCCTGTGAAGATTTATGTTACTACTGCCTCCAATCTCATTCTAAATTACCAGTCTGAAGACAGGGGCTCAGTGTTACTTATATCTACTATGGTCCATAGCATAAGAAAAAATATTAAACTGCACA